CTAGAACTGGCAATCTCCCTGCCTTACGTTCCCAAGTCACTGGGACTATAGATGTGTGCCACTATATCAAGCTCTAAACTTTTATTTCTATCCTCGCTATCAAAGGCAACAATTTTTTTCATTAACCTCTAACTCAATAAGAGATTTGCTGCAACAACTTACTCTTGTTTCTGAAATCTCATCTGGAAGAAATTTTGCTCAAAATTGCCTTACAAGAAAGCTTTTCACAACAAAAATTGTGTACGAGAAAGAAAAAATTTTCTGCATGTGATTACTTATATCCATAGCCTACCTATAAAATGTTGAGGTACTTAAAGCTTTATAATTACTGCAATAGTAAATGCAGCTATTACAGTATTAATTACTGCAATAAAACTTTGTCCTGACAATTGAAAATTTGCTTACAATTTTGGAATTAAAAAATGCTTCTGGTAGCGATATGTTCAGAGGCATCTGAGCTAAAAGACAGGGTGACAGGTCATTAAAATTTCTGTGATTTTTATTTGAATCTTCCTTAATAAAAAATTTTGCCATTTGATCACTTCCTTTAGTAAAAGTTGAGTAAATCACACATCTGTTCTACCATTTTCAATATTGAATGAACATTTGCATAGTACACAGAGATACAAATGGACATTTCCCTCATTTAACCTATTTGTACTTAGAAAATTTATGAAATTCACACTTGCATTTTGGAATCTGGGGGCTCAAATACATACAAGTAAAAATATCAGGTAACATAACTGATTTAACAAGACAATTTGATGGGAACAAATAGCATAGTCAACAAATTGTGTTGTGGTAACTGGATACCCACAGCCTGAAGTGACATTGAACCCCTTCTTATCACAGTATAGAAAACTTAAGTAAAAATGAATGAAAGACCAAAGTGTAAGAGAGAAGACTAAAAAAACTCTCAGAAGAACCCAGGCCTGGTGGCACATTCCCAGCACAGTGGTGGGTGGGGGTCAGGAGTGAGGTAAGGGAGGAGGATTGTTGTGTATTTCAGACCAGCCTGAACTATATAATAAGACTGTGTCTCTAAAAACTAACTAACCAAACCTACAGAAAAATAAACAAACACATCTCTTATGAGAAACACAAGAGTAAATCCTCATGACGTTGGGTTAAGCAATAGTTTCTTAGTTGTGACACCTAAAGCAAAAACAAGAACAAAATAGAAAAATCAAATGTTACAAAAATTTAAGTTTGGTACTTCAAAGGGCATATATCAGGATTATAAAAAGACAATGTATAACCAGGAATGGTAGTGCATGCCTATAGTCCCAGCACTTGGGAGGCTGAGGCACAAGAATTGTCATATGAGTTCAAGGCCAGCTTGAACTACAGAGTGAAACCCTGTTAAAAAAAAAAAAAAGACATTATACAGAATGGAAGGTAAATTTTTTGCAAATCATCTATGATATGCAACTAGAATATATAAAGAGCTATTATGACTTACATTTAAGACAAATAGCATTTAAAAAAAAACAAAAAATCTGGACATAGTGGTACACACCTATAATCCTAGCACTTGGAAGGCAGAGGGAGCAGGATCATGGGGTGAGTTCAAAGCCAGCTTGGGGCACACAGGGAGCTCAAGGGCAGCTAGGACACATTAAGTAAGAACCTATCTCAAAACAGAAGGGAAAAAAGACAAAAAAACTGAACAGACATTTTTTGAAAGAAAATATACAAATGGCCAACTGCAACTGCATATGGATCAATAGCTATCATGCAAATACAAATTCAAACTATAATATCACTTTATATCCACAAAAATGACTATTACCAAAAAATAGAGAATGAGTATTAGGATGTGTAGGAATTAGAACACTTATGTATCTTCCTATTGGGAATATAAATGGTGCTGTCTCTTTAGGAACAATTTGGAGTTTTGTCAAAAGACTAAATAGGGCTGGAGATTTAGTTCAGTGGTGCAGTATCTGCTTGGCAAGCGTGAATTCCTGAGTTCAATTCCTGGTAATCCCCTCCCCAGAAAAAGACTAGTTTCCAAGTGATTCAGCAATCCACCTCAACATTAATATCCAGGAGAAATAAAAGCATATGCTTACACAAAAACTTTTACACAAATGTTCATAATAGCATTACCTAAAAAACAGAAAAAAAACTGTCCTGCAAATAACCCAAATATCCATTAACTGATAAATGGATAAGCAAGATACAGTATGTAATAGAATACAATTCTATTATTTACCAGATAATATTCAAAAATATTTTAGATAATATTCAAAAATAAAAAGGAACAAAATTCTGATCCATGTGACAACACAGATAAATCTTAATAAATATCACACTAAATAGAAGCCAGGGACAAAAGACCACAATATGTATGTGTCTTACTTACTTTTCTCTTGTTGAGTCAAAATACCCACCCACAAAGAAGGGGAAGGGTTTATTTAGCTCATAATTTATAGAGGTTTCAGTCCATAATGGGCTGGCTCCAAGGCATGGTGACATGACAGACAGGCCTCAAAGAGGTCAAAGAGTTCATGTAGGCAAAAGGTAACAAAGGAAGCAAGAAACAAGGCAAGCCTCTTTCTGTCACTTATATTGTACCCAGGCTACCAAGATTAGGGTGCTGCCAAACCAATTAATGGAGTGATTTAGTAATCACTCATCCTTAATCCTGAATTGTACCATACTGAAAGAATTTTCGGCACGGTTAGAAGACAGGATATAAAGTAAAATGGCCTTTATTGTAAGAATGTGGAGAGAGAACCCCCAACCACTGAGGTCTGGTGTTCTCTCTGCCAGACACAGTGGTGTGGGGGCATACATGTAGCTTAGGTTTGGGGTGGAGCCTAAGGGACATTACTGATGCACAGATAGCCCATTGGAATTCATTTCTGCCACAGATAAATTGCTTAGGGGTGGGGAAGGTGACCTTCCGCCTCCCAGTGCTTCCCACCTACAACGTCCCCTGTAGGGCAAAATCCTTTCACATACTCTAGATTCAGCCCTCTAAAAAGCCCACCAATGACTACATAAGGCTTTTGTGGGGACATTCAGACATAATCCTGATTAAATGAATGTTTAGAATAGGTAAATTCAGAGATACACATGATGTTGGAGAGAAATGGAAAATGACTGCTAGTAGGTAAAGGGTTTTCTGTTAGGATATTAAAATGTTCTAAAAATGATTGTGATGATGGCTGGGCATCACCACTTTGTTTATATACTCATTCGATTGTTTTGAAAAATTGATAATAGCAGGTTGGGCGTGATAATGCATGCTCTAACTCAGCACTTGGAATCTGAAGCTGAAGGACTGCTGCAGGTTCGAGGCCAGTCTGGGCTACATAGTGAGTTCAAGACCAGGTTGGGCTACACGATGAAACTCTGTCTCAAAAAATTAAAAACAAAAACAAAAACAAAAACAAACGAACAAAACTTATAAAAATTAGTAATTGCAAACACAGCAAGAATTGGAAAGGTTGTATCTGATAAATCTCAAGGTTGAGTCATTACATCTGAAAAAAATCCACATTCACACCCAACTGTAAATGTCAGTTGAATTTTGAAAGAGTTGCAAACTTTGAATTTGCTTATAAACAATAAACAGAATTCAGTTTCTGGTGCAAAAACAACAAAAACAATGAATTTCTCACATGCTTGCCACTCACATGTTTTTCTTTTTTTTTTTTCCCCAAGAAGTTGAAGGATTTAGCGGTTTGTCAGGTACGTTAGTGGTCACTGGAGCAAGCCAGCTGAACAACGCAGATCCTTTAGAAGTATGGACAGGGGTGTGACACAGAAGCTGATTGGCTATTACCTAGAAACCCAGCGCTGTCAACGATTGGCTAACTTTCAGGGACTGCCATTGATTTTCTTTCAAAAACTGTTAATGACTGGCTGATTTTGAGAAACATAAACCCAGAGTGAGACTGTCGCTGATTGGCTAATTTTCAGAGTTTGTGTACTGAGGTGTGGTTTTCTCTAAATAAAGGTGGTTATTCATTCACGACTTGGGATTTGAGTAAAAAAAAATCTTTTCCTTCCTTGAATATGAAAAACATTTATTCCTACAACTCTTCTGTTAGTTCGTCCTCAGCTAAACCTTCAGAAGACACTATAGGGATTGTAAGGATTTTCATGTGTGTAAGGAGGATTTTCGCCAGCGGTTGTCATTTAAGTAAGTCAAGCGCCAATTACTGTGGTGCAAAAAACAGCCCTGGATAATTATTTTAACATCGTAAAAAAAAATGTAGAGAGGGTATAAGAATCCTGACAAAAAGAATCCTATGTCAATACATGACACAGACGAAATCATTAGATAGGTCCTGTATATATAGAATGCCTAGTAACCTTGTCAATAAAATATTTTCCTCTATATTGCACAGAAAAGGACGGAAGCGATTAAGTTTCTGGGCTTGGGCCCCGCAGCCGGAAATGGATCGAACCAGGATCTAAATAGCGAAGGGCAGGATCCTCCGGGACCCTAGGGCTATGAACACTTAACGTCATGCCTTGCTATGCGCTGAATGCGCATTGCTAACCCCAGGCCAGCTTGGAATCGGCTGGGTGTTTGAGAGGTGGGTACGACACTGAAGAGCAACACGCGAGAAGACAGCCGCGAGACACCCTCGCGGGAGATCCCGGGAGGAAAACCCGGATCGGAGGAGGGAGGTGGGGGCCTCAGTGTAGGTGCAGCGGAATACTACGCCGAAGGCGAGAGCCTGGAGGCGGGGCTGGGACGAGGCCCCGCCCCCGTCGCGTGCGTGTACGCGGCGGGGGCGCCGCACAGTCCTACGGGGTAAGGGGCTGAGGGCAAGGTACATCCCTGCCCGGGCATCCCTCATCCCGGGAACCCCAGTCTCCAGCGTCTGGCCCAGCTGCCTTGCGGCTTAAGAAGGGTGCGGCTCCACTGCAAGGCTGTACGCCGCCCCCACCCCCACCCCGGCCTTCTCGACGCCCCACAAGCACTCCGTGCGTGCGTCCGCTCCGCCCCGCCCCGCCCCGCCCCGCCTCGCCCCGCCCCCCACCGGCACGCCCCCACCCCGCCCGGCCGCCGCGGGCCTGGAGCGGCATCACGGGCCTGCTCGACCCTCGCCGTGGCGCTGCGCTCCTCCGCTGGACGTCGCCATGGACGTGTACCCCTCGCACCAGCTAGGGCTGCTCCGCGCCCGGTTGCCTGGCGGCCCCGGCCGCGGATCGCCTTCCGTCAGGTACGCGGGGCCGAGGCTGCAGAGGGGCAGCGGGGCTGGGGACGCTGGTTTTGGGGTCCCGCGACGCCTCCCACCGCAGGGCGTGGCCCGACATGGCTTCCTTGCGGACCAGTCTTGAGGACGGTTACTGAAGGAACGTTTTCCCGGACCGGCGCCATCTGTAGGGGCTCCTGGGGCTGGCTCCTGGCAATCCCACAATGGTCCCCGCGGAGACCCCATTTTGTGACATCTCCACAGCTATAGCGCTTTCCTCCCAGAAAGAGTCCCTTGTAGAGAACCCCCCCGGGGACTTCCCCGTAACTCACGTGCCTGCGGGCCCCCCCCCCGCGGTTACCTTTATAGACACTTCCCTCACACAATAGGTCTCCTATAAAGAACCTCTAATGAGTGTCCCTCAGAAGCGGCGTGCCTTGTAGCCCCGCGATGGTAGTCTAGAGCCTTTGCTTTTGACAGCGGCTTCTCTCAAGATTACCCCCGCCCTGCATGTATGCGGACAGCATCTTCCCCATTGCAGGATTCCCACTTCCCCTCCCCCAACCCTTCCCTCACTCCAGATAAGAGCTTGGATTGTGGAGAAGTGGCTGTCATTTGGGGAACAGGAGAGAAAACTAGCTGGATGGATAGAGAAAAAAGGTCCAAAATCCCTGAAATGCCAGGCCCATGAGCCTAGACGCAGAGTCCCTGGTTAGCTCGGTAATGCCAAGGATCTGCTATTGGGGAGAGGCTACTGCCTGTGTCTTTGGGGCTGACCTTGATACAATAGTCTAGTTATTGTTTGTGACGGGGAGCTGGTATGGGGTCGCTAGCAAAGTATGGAGGGTGGGATGATGGAGGGGTTGCAGCGGAGACCTTGGGGAGAGAGAGGGAGCGAGTGAGCAATGAGCTTTGGTACTGCTAAACTGTCATTAAACCGGAAAAAGGATTTCTTATTTGTTCGCGTTCTCTTCCTTCTAGGCACTTAGCAAAGCAAATGTGGCATTGTTCCCTGTTCTCTTGAAAGGAGATTGTCAATGTTAAATGCCTTTTCCTATATTGTTATGGTACTTAAGGTAGTCTATGGTCTACATGTTAATATGGTTTTTGGTTTTTTGTCTTTTTAAGACAGAATCTCATTACACAGTTCAGGCTGGCCTTGAGCTCACTTGGTGGCCCAGGCTGGTTTTGAACTCATGTCTCAGCCTCCTGAGTGCTAGGATTACAGGTGTGAGCCACCCCCAGCCCCACCCCCTGAGTTCAGTAGACCCAAATGCATGAAATACAAAAACAAAAAACAAACAAACAAACAAAAAAAAAAAAAAAACCACTTAGAATTTTGACCCTATTTTACTTCCCAGCATTCCTTCCCACCCAGCAGCCCCCCTTACCCCACAACTAATGCGAGTTGGTTGAATGAATAAAGGACAGAAGAGTCCTGGTTTTCTTCTAATTTGACATCATGTGAATTTCTTTACCCTTTAAAGCAGTTCCTTCTGGATATAGTTTAAGTGTTTAGCTATTGTGGCAACTATCTCCAGTCCAGCCCAACGTTTCTGTCACACGTTTTAACTGTTTGAAAGTATTTCAACTTTGTATAAAAGTTGCAGAGGATACTTTAGTACTGGGAGCAGCCATCCATTAAATCTGGGTTCTCTGTAGACTTGGAGTTTATTCTAGATTATTTTGAGCTCAGCAATCTTGATTTGAGTTTTTAGAAACTTCTAGGGTGAGCAAAGTCAATTTTGTGGTGGATAATTGCTGCTTTCTTTGTTTCTAGGAGCATGGCAGTATGTTTTTTTTTCAAGGTAGGGTTTTATGTTAAAAAGAAATATGTTGGCTATTAGTCACCCATAACTCTGAATCTTTCATCTGCAGTTTGAATGAAACTTGGTAGATTTTAGACAAGGGATAGTGCAAGTAGTAACACCAAAGCCTGGCTGGTTTGTGCCTTTACTCTCCTTTCCATACCTTTTTGTAATTGAGCATGATTTTCTTATCTACTGAAGCCTTCCCACCTTTCCAGCACTTTTGACAGTGAACTTCCTAAGTAGCTTTGGGCTTAGGCTTTTCCTGTCACCTGTAGTTGGTCTCTTGGCAATCTTTGACTCCTAAGTGATGAAAGAAGCAGGCTGAACTGGTGAAGTTACATTCCTAAAGATATGTACATAGGCTTTGCAAGAGTGTGGTTCTCTTCCAGCAAGGGAGCTCATTTTCACAGATGGGAAATGGAGATTAAGAGTTAAAATATTATTGCTCAGAATTAGAGGCTGCTTTTTTAAAGATATGATAGTCATCAGTGATATCTATCTGATATTTTTGGTGTCTGTCTCTTGTGCACATACTAGAATTGTACTCCCATATTCTCAGGCAGGTTAAATGGATCGTCTTCAACTGAAAGTGAAAGATGGAGAATGTTAAGTTTTTTGTGGCACGGTAGAGAAGCAAAGGCAGAAAAAAGGAAAAAAAGCCTTTATTGTGGGCATAGGTGGACTGCAGAAGAGTGCAAGATCCCTTCAAGGCAGACAAGTCACAGGCTTTTTATTTTGACAGGAGGTAGAGTTTGAAGGTAGGGGGCAGAGTGACATATTGACAGCTGATTGGGGGTGTGCCTGTGAAAAGCAAGAAGTTCAATTTCAACTTGGAAGAAGAAACCAGAACTTAGTATTGAAGGGACTCAGTGTCATCTTTAGGGTCCAGTGCTATGTTGGGCAAGCACCACGCTGAGCTTTGCAGAGCTTCATGTGGGTGCAACCCATTATTCCCATCTTTTGGTTGTTAGGGGGTAACAACTCTCTTAAACTGTTTCCTGCTGAATGGGGGAGTCCTGGTAGGGACTGATGTAGTTGCTGGGATGACAGGTATTGTCCATATATATAGAAGCTGGTGCCTGTGGTGTCAGCCAGTATGGGAAGTTCTCAGGTAGAGAAGGCCCATATCCTGGATTGAAAGAGTTTTGAAAAAAGTTTAAATAGACAAGGAGCTATAAACCAAAAAAATAACATATAGGGTGAGAGGTTCTGCCAGAGGGAAAAGGTAGGGGCCCAGCCTCCTAGGGAAGACCGGGTGGAAAAATCCTGGTGAGAGGCCTCCTTGATTTTAGAGGTAATGTATTTATGGATTTTTACCTTATCCATTACAATACCTGATTAGCAAAGTAACATTTTTTTTTCTAGCATGGGATGGGTTCCTCCTTTTATATCTAACTCATGACATTTTTTATTTATCTTTTGATTATGTTTTTCTGCAGAATGTTTTGGACCAAGTTAAATTGAGACCTGTACTAATTAAAATTAACCTCTTGCTATCTATTAAGATCAGTTAAGTCTCCTCAGGATTTGTGGAGAGAGGCTCTTAATTCTTGACAGTATCAGCTGTTAGGATGAGTCATGGCCATTGCTTGACCAAGTTGTTTTTTGTGAAATCTTTGGATTTTTTTTCTCTTGGTAACTCTCCTTGGGCACGTTACATATCGTAGATCACACTTTTTTTGTGGTCCTATAGACCATAGAATAGACCAGAAGACCAGGAACTCAGAGAGTTATGGGGTATCGTTGCAGAGGTTCTTTTTTTATATCCTGGGTCTTCATTGACCTCAGAGATCTGTATCTAAAATATTGGTTGTCCTCCTAGTCCATCTATCTTTTTAGTTTTTAGTCTTCAAATATCAGCTGTTGAACATCCAGAAGAAAAGATTGATAACATTATAGTGTAATAAGGCAGTAAACTTAAAATTATTATCTGATCTGAGGAGCAAGCACCTTAGAACATTAAAAACAGCTGTTATTTTTTATCAACCATGGATGTACTAGTATTTAAACCATGGATGTACTAGTATAACATTAATATTTACATATTTTTCACAGAAAATTTGAAATCAAAACCATACATAATACTGTGTTATGACAATTATGACATTTTGTAACAATTTGAATTTGCATTTTGACATAAAATATCCCTTTTAGTTAATCATCCCTGTCATTAATATGTAAGAAGCTTTTGCCTAACTTGTTTATCTTTAGTAGGATGTACATCTCATAAGTTTTTGTGATAGACAGAGGGATGAATCTGAAACAGAATTTTGTCAGACAATCTGTGTTTTTTATTTTTGGAAGACCTGTACATATGGAAGCATGAATATATTAATACACTGTGAGGTTAACAGCAATCTGTCACAGCCATATGAAACCTTTGTATCAGAGTATCTTTAAATCAAAAACCTTATTGTATTATTTCTTATGATGATGACCAATGTGAATGTAATGCAATTAATATATTTTTACAATTTTAGTTGGGATGTCTCCCATAAGGCTATGAAGATCATTGGGACCTCTGGTCAATGAACAAGAACTGGTTAAATGTTACCAGGTGGCTGCTTTCTTACTTATCAGTTGAAGTCCTCCCTACCCTAAGGATTTTGTTTAATTATCTTAATAAACTTACGAAAAACCCAATCACAACTTTTGACACTATTTTTGAACAGTGAACATTATTTTTGAATCTCAAGTCATGATACATAAACAACAATCTAAATTTACACAACCAAGTATAGTATCATTTTGATCAGTTGGCAACTCAGGTGGAAGCATGCTTTTAGATGTATAACCCATATTAAGTTGCAAACAAATGATCCAAAAATGGAAAAAAAAATTGTTGAGCACAAATAAAAACAGCTGTTTATGGATATGACAAACCAAGGAACATATATAGACAGCCTGTACAGATTGGACAGACATGGAAACAGATACACAGCTTACCAGACAAATACTTTATAAAATTAAAGCACACTCAAATATATTTGGCCAATTTGAATTATAACTCTTACAGTTTTTACATTTGTAATACAGATAGACTAGTTAGATCAAGTAACAGATCTCTTATGAGAATCAAAAGGAATAAAACCACTTACATCTGTGAAAGCAAAGACAGTTATTAAAGCAAAGACAGCTATTAGGAGGTCGTAGGTATTAATTATAAATTGGAGCTCTTTTATATAGTCGTAGGGCTCTGTGGAGAAGGAGCTTAGT